ATTTGTCTCACGTAAAATCTGATATGTATTTTGAGGTTAGGAAAAATCCTGACGTGATGGAGCAAAACGGACTTCAGATTCGTTTTCAGCGACCCCAAAAACATATAATACATAAGGTTTGGTCGAAGGAACCTTTCAACGAATTTTTTTTGTGGACCTGTGTTATTTAAATAAAAGACAAATGTTAATACAGTTCTACTTTATTAAAAGCAAAAATTAACTTCCTTAAGTTAATCCTTGAAAAAAATAATCAATTTTCTAATTGATTTATTAATTTTTTATTCATTTCAAGTTTAAAATTTGTAAAGGGCATCACAAAATAATCTCCACCGACGTCTACCGACTCTTAAATATTTTAGCACAAATTTAATAATTATTTATATTTTTATGAATTATCGCGAAAATTCCCATAAATAACTATATCTAATTTTCATAAATTATCATGAAAGAAAACATCAGGGACCGTTACGAGAGTTTATAGTTTCGTTTTAGTTTCTGAATTGACACAAAACTAAATTAACAAATTGAGTTTAGTTTGGTATCGACTCGAAAATAAATTAACAAACTGAATTTAGTTTCGTGTCGATTCGAAACTAAATTCATAAATTGATTTAGTTTCGTGTTGACCCGAAACTAAACTAAAAAAACTAAATTTTAAAATAAAAAAATTTAAAAGTGAACTTAATTTCCATGTGTATTAAATATTGAAATATTTTGTTTTTTGTTTAGTAATTTTTTGACTGACACTAAATAAATATTTAAGTTTTTCGGACTTTAGTTTCGAGTCGACACGAAACTAAACTAATTTGGTTAATTTAGTTTCGGATAGACACGAAACTAAATTGAACGTAAATTTTTAATTTAGTTTCATTTCAATAACGGTCTGGAACTAAAAAATCTCTTTTTCAATTTGTTTAAAAAAATTAAAAAATTATAAACAATTTTTCTGAACAGCCACGAATTTTTCTTTCTAGACTCTTTATCTTAAAAAAACATATTAATAATTATCATATTGATAACATTTTTTTTTTTAAGTTTTAGAAACGAAATTCTGCGCTACGTGGAGAATCACCCCAATAACATGAAAAAGTTTTATTTATCGCATTTAACAAAAGTTATAGCATTTTTGGATAATTATTTATTGTAAAAAAATGATAATAATTTCCTGATTTCCCGTTTTTCCTTAACTCATCGCCATCCTTCTTTAAACAGAATATTTTTTCCATTAATATGTATCAACACTCGGTACCTGAATTAAATATAATATTTAAGCCAGGGCATAAGCATGATCAAGTTTACTCTTCGAGTTATTCCTGTAGCACCATCCAAGCATATGTGGCAAGGTTGGTGACTCTAGGCTCGATTCATTAAGCTATAAGATTTTAACTTTCTTCTTCTTCTTTCTTAAAAGACTTTTGGCTTCGCCACTTGTCAGAACTATTAGAGTTTAGCACATGTATACGTCCGCATGAAAAGGGTCCACTTTGTCGGTTTAGATTCCGAGTTAATCGCAATTTACTAATTTTGAAAAAAAATCTCAATTTAAAAAATTTTTATTATTAATCCCTCTTATTTTGGAAATGAAAGGGGAAGGGGGATTTGAAACCTATTGATTTTCCATCTTTAAGGTGTATATGACTTAAAATAATTCTCACCTGAATTACTTCCTAAAAGAACTAGAGAAATTCACATTACAATTTTTAATTTCGTTTTTCTGAAAATGAAATTTTCGATATTTTCTTGTTATTCATAATAAAGTCCCTTCAAAAATTTTGTATGTCTACTTTCTCTTTTTTGATTCAAGTAACTCAATAAAGTAATATCCAACTGATTTTTAACTGCGTAAAAAAATCCGGTTCATTAATTAAAAATCGCATTTCTAGAAAAGGGACCACTTTGTCGAATTCTAAACTTATAAATTTTGTATCTTAAAGGTGTACTTGACTTGAAACAACTCGCTTCTGAACAATGCAATTTTTCTCGAAATGAGGTTCTTGGCATTCTGTTTTTAAGTGGCCAGAATCGGTTTAGGGAACAGTAAACTTAACTTAGAATAATTCCACAACAATTTTACATCTATAAAGATATCTAGATTTTTCCCTCATGTCCGAAAAATGTGTGAAAATTTCGGAAAACTCAAGAAAACTCAAAATAGTAAAAACAATCTATTGATGTTGTTTTAGAACTCAGAGAAGTAATTCAAATTCATTTCTAAATTATTTTCTGGTCTAGGAATAACTGTTGTAGGTATATTAATTGACGGGAGAGTCGGAAAATCTATAGAAAAATTGTGGAAATTGTAACAAATTGAGCTTTGATAGTCAATCAGTTTAGAGTTAAACAAAGTTAACTTAATTTATTTCTATAACATTTTTTGATCTTCCATCATATTTAGATTTTTCTCTAATATCAGAAAATGTGTAAACATGAAGGAAAATTTAGGAAAAGTCAAAATAATGTTTTGACAAATTTTCCATGGATTTTCAAACTTTTCTGGCAATAAGAAACCTACAACAATTCCGAGACCAAAAAATAATTTGAAAATGAATTTGTCAATTCTGAAACAACATCAATATATATATATATATATATATATTGAGTTTTCCTGAGTTTTCCGAAATTTTCACACATTTTCCAATATTAAAGAAAAATCTAGATATGTGGCTGTCCACGAGAAAACGCGGCTTAGCTCCCAAACGTGAATTTCACAGGGCGAGCGATTGAAGTACTACGATTGAAGTAAACTACGCTTGACATACCCATCTTTAAAACGATATATTATCGAAAGTAATTGATATTTTTAACTTTTGACTCTTGCATTTGAAAAAGCAACATAAAATCTGTCGATTACCATAAAAAACTCAAATTGATTTTTTGGACCTAAAAGCCGTGTTTTCTCGTGGACAGTCACATATGATGGTAGATCTAAAAATGTTATAAAACTAAATTCAGTCAACTTTGTTCAACTCTAAACTGGGTTTGACTACTAAAGCTCATTTTGTTCCAATTTTCACAAACTTTCCATAGCTTTTCCGACTTTTCCGTCGATAAACAAACCTATAACAGTTATTCGTAGACTAAAAAATAATTTAGAAATAAATTTGAATTTCTTCTGTCAGTTCTGATACATCAGCAATAAATTATTTTTACTATTTTGACTTTTTTTGAGCTTTCCGAGATTTTCACAGTTTTCGGACATTAGGGAAAAATCTAGATATCTTTATAGATGTAAACCTATTCTGACCACTTAAAAACAATTTGTTCCATTTTTCAATGATTTTTCATAAATTTTCCGACTTTTCCGATAGTAATCAAGCTTGTAGCAGTTATTTGTAGACCAGAAAATATTTTTAAATATGTTATGATATATTTCTATCCTTTTTAGGGTTCCGTATACCATAGGTGTACTGACGGAACCCTTATGAAATCACTCGTGTGTCCGTCCCAGCCACGCAAAATGGGCTGTCCCCCCCCCCCTAACTTCTACAAATCTCAACCTGGTGAGTTGAAATTCGGTAGGGATCTGCAGTTTCAAGTGCAGATTACAGGAAAAATATAGCGAACTTGATTGACGGACATATTTGCGAACGAGGAGGGAAAGAAATTCAATTTTTTCGAAAAAATTGCAAAAAATGACCCTGTCCCCCCCCTTTAACTTTTACAAATCTTAACTTGATGGGCTGAAATTCGGTAAGGATCTTCAGTTTTAAGTGCAGATTATAGGAAAAATATAACGAACCTGATTGGTGAAGATATTTGGGAACTAGGAGGGAAAGAAATTGAATTTTTTTGAAAAGATTGCAAAAAATGATCCTGTCCCACCCCTTTAACTTTTACAAATCTCAATCTGGTGAGTTGAAATTCGGTAGTGATCTTCAGTTTAAAGTGTAGATTACAGGAAAAATATAGCGAACTTGATTGACGGACATATTTGCGAACGAGGAGGGAAAGAAATTCAATTTTTTCGAAAAAATTGCAAAAAATGACCCTGTCCCCCCCCTTTAACTTTTACGAATCTTATCCTGTTGAGCTGAAATTGGGTAGGGATCTTCAGTTTTAAGTAAAGATTACAGGAAAAATATAGCGAACCTGATTGGCGGAGTTATTTGCGAAATTGAAGGGCAAGAATTTGAATTTTTCGAAAAAATTACACTGTCCCTACTTTAACTTTTATAAATTTAAACCTGGTGAGTTAAGATTCAGCTTGTATATTCTTTTTCAAGTGCAAATTATAGAAAAAATAAAGAGAATGTGATTGGCGAAGATAAGTACTATAAAAGAAAAAATATAAAGATTTATTAATAAAATAAAATAATAAAAATATTTATTCGAAATTTAAAAAAATATATTACTATTTTTTTAATTATTTTTTTCAAATTTTGTAAGAATTTTTGAAATAATTTTTTTATAAACAATGAGTTTTATTTTGGTGTACGGAACCCTCGATCTTAATGCGAGTGAAACTCGCACTTGTCCGATTTTTTTTCTCTTATTCTAAGTTAATCCTTATTTTTCTGAGTTTTCATGGTTTTCCCCCATTTTCACCGTATTCCCGAGGATATGAGGGGAAATGAAGGTTACTATTCGATTCCTGAGCTCAAAATCTATAAGAATTCAGTAGAATAATACATTGTGCACCAAGTACAGAAAAAGGTCGATTTTTGCAAGAAAGTTGTTGATTTCTGTACTTCGAAATGAGTGCAGGAAAGTGTACTTTCCTGCAAAGCATAGTACGGCGTTTTTTATACACAGGTGTTACACAAAGCACAGTGTGCACCAAGTACAGAAAGAAGCTTTTCCGACGAGTTTGATTACTGTTCTCGTTTCACTCGAGCAGCAAGCTTCAAACTCATCCTAAAACAGCTTTTTTTACATCTTCCTTTCCAAATTTAACTTTCCAATAGTTTTCATGCGGACGTTCCATGCGGACATTCTTACTAGACTTGAGCTTAGTTGTTTCTGCATAAAAATGTAAGTTTGACCCATAAGTGTAAACTTACCGAATTATTTGGAGGTTCTTGCTTGATTTCCATTTGTGTTGTTTGAGGTTGCAGGAGTTGGCACACCATTGGCGGATACAAATTGTTATTGCGACTGTTTACGGGTAGCGTAGAGAGTCCTTTAAATCGTTTAACGGGGTGATTAAGCCAGGCTTCCTGAGTTGAATAGTCATACAGCCAAGCGAGGGGTTGCTCCTCCTCCATAAGGGCGCCCTCGTATTCTTTAGACGACAAAATGGGTCTCTTGAGAGTCGGTCCTGGAACCGGACTGAACACCTGATTGACGCAAGTCGACAGAGTCGATTTAGGACCTTGCAGAGGTGTAAGAGGTGGGCCAGTATTCGTATGACTAGGAGGCGGTTGTGGGCTGAGAGTTGGCATCACTGGATCTGCTGGTGGCACTGAAGCTGGTTCAGAGTGTGGCGTTGGAAGAGGTGACGGAACTGGAGATCCCGGTGATCCCACTGAGGGGACAGGCAAACAATCTCCACCGGTCGGAGGACCCCTAGAGTATGATGGCGGACCTCCGGTTGGAGTATTTGGTGTTTCCATTCTATTGAGAACAATCCTGTTAAATTAGAGAAGAACAAATTTCGTACGTTCCAAGCAAAATTAAAATAACCAGGGTTGACACGCTTTTGCTTATTTCAAATTCCCTCAATTTTTCAGGTTTTCCAGGTTAAAAAACTATATTTATTTTTATCTAATCAATTTTTACAAATACTCAATCAGGATTGGCACAAAAATTTTATTTTGTTTTTCCCTGATTTCCAGCCAAAATTTTGATTTTTCCCTTGATTCTAAAAAATTTTCTGTTTCACTCTAAAAAGGATTAGGTTTTTAAAAAAATGTTCTATTACATTTATTTACGACTTTCTTTGATTGTAAAATTATTCGAAAACATTAACAATTTTATTTAAAATAAATATTTAATTATTATTAGTTTTCGGTTGGAATTAAGATTTTAAAAAAATTCAAATTTTTTTAAAATTCAATAACTTATACATAAGAATATTATTGTAAAACATAAAGATGACCGAGTGATAAAATCATTATTTTTATTTTATATTATAAGAATATTGTTACTGTAACTTCATCAAAATTATTTTCATCATTTCAATTCAATTATTATTTTCTAGAATTTTATCTAAAATTCTTCTTTAAGTCAATTATTTTTCATAATTTTTGAAAAATTCCTTTGATAATTTTCAAATCCTTTTGTTTACAATTCAATTTTACGAAATTTCGATTATTCTTTTTCAATCTAACTATTCTTTAATTAAAAATATATATTAGAAAATCAAAACTTAATAATTTTAATTTAAAATCTTTTCAAAATTCAATTATTTCTCAAATTCATGCTATAATGTTTTTAATATTCAATTATTATCTAAAATTTTAACTTAAATTCATATTTGAATCAATTATTATTTGAAAATTCTACGAGAGTTCAATTATTTAAATACTAAAATAAATAATTTATCTATTGAATAATTGAATGTTTCTTAAAATTGAATTCTCAAAAAGAATTTTATCAACAATTTTTTATGTAATTGACAAGAATTTTATTAAAATTTTTGAACATAATTGAATTTCTACGAAGAATTTTATTACTTTTGTAAATAATTGAGGGCCTGGAACGGATAACTGCCTGCTACGCATGGTTGAAAGGGACTATACCAGTCAGACAACAGTGAGCGCCTCTAGGCCTCTCACTGATGTCTGACTGGTATATAGTCCCATTCGGCCATGCGCTACAGGCAGTTATCCGTTCCAGGGCCCTCAATTGAATTTCTGCAATCATTTCAAACTTCTTCAAAATTTAATTTTTTAGTGCTTTTTTTAAACTAAAATTCTTCTATAAATCCATTATTTTTAATAATTTTTCAAAAAGTTTTTTGAGAATTTCCAAATCCATTTGTTTACAATTCAATTTTACGAAATTTCGATTATTTGGCAATTTTTCAATTAAGTATATATTAGAAAATAAAAAATTCAAATAGTTTAAAAAAAAATTCAATTAAACTTTTTCAAGAAATTACTTTTACAGAATTGTTAGTAAAAAGTATGAGAAATTCAGATTTTCAAAGATTTTAATATGAAACCTGTTCAAAATTCAATTATTTCTAAAAATCCACGCTGTAATGCTCTAAATATTCAATTATCTAAAATTTTAACAGAAATTCATTTTCAAATGAATTTTTATTAGAAAACTTTACGGGAATTCAATTAATTTAAATAGAAAAATACATAAAATTTATTGAATAATTGAATGTTTCTCAAAATTGAATTCTCATAAAGAATTTTATCAAAAAAATTTTAAATAATTGAATTCTTTTGGCGAATTTTAATAAAATTTTTAAAAATAATTTAATTATTTGAGAAATCTGATTAAAATATTGTATTAAAAATAATTGAGTCCCTGTAAAAAATTTGTAAATAATAATTGAATTCCTGGGAAATTTTTATTATTTATGAAAATAATTAAATATTTGCGTAGAATTTAATTACAATTTTTTATAAATAATTGAATTCTTTTGGAAAACTTTATTAAAATAGTAGATATTCAAAACGTTGAATTGAAGAAATTTTTTGAAAATAATCGTAATTTTGACGAAACTTTAAAAAAATTTACATAAAAAATCAAATCGAAAAATTACTTAACATTAATAAAAAGCATTAATAAACTCTCCTAAGTAAATTACTAAAAAAGAAATTAATAAAAAAAATTATTTTTCTGTTTTATATGTGTTACAAGCATGAAAGTTGCAAAGGGAATCACAGAATCGTCATGGTCGAATCATAATATATTTGAAATAAAATGAATAATTATTTATATTTTACCTCAAAACAAGTTTAGTAGTATAAAGTAAGTGAAAAAAAAGACGTGGAAAAAAAGAATTTTTGAAATCGATAATAATTTGCTTAAAAAATTAGTTTTTCTTGTGCGTCATGGTCGAATCAGAGCGTCATGGTGTAATCAACTTTACATGGGTGTTTATTGTAAAAAAGAAAATTATAATTATTTTGTCTGGCCCACCACGAATATTTCGTTCTTGAATATTGAACTTTAAAATTCTATATCGACTTTTACTTAATTTGAAAAAAAAAATTTCAAAAATAGTAAAATCCAAATTGTGCGCTACGCGGAGAATCACCCATATATTCAAAGAAGGAAGTATAGTTCCTTGAAATTATAATTCATTCATTCAAAATTGAAATTTTACAAAATCTCAAATTAAAACACTGAGAGACCTTTGGGATTGTAGCGGAACAACGTATGTGACAGCAGCTCCACTATGGTTTTGGTGCGCTGCGGTACAATTTTGGAAGCGTGACAGTCTAAAATGTTTGTAAGCAGCTGAACAACTTTTGGACTGTCACGCGCCCAAATTTGTACCGCAGCAACCCAAAAGTATAGTCCTATAGCGTACCAACAGAATGGTCAGCAGCAGCCTATCGAAAGTCTGCTGCTGACCCAAAGGTCTCTCAGTGAACCTTTTGAAGTTCATCTATTTATGAAAATTGTAAACGCGACTCTTTTAATATAGTTAATAATAGTTTATTAATAGTTAATTAATAGTTCTTCAAGGAGTAAGTTATTTAAAAAGAAATTGTTGTGAGAAATAGAAATAATTTCATAGTTTATGAGGCAAACAAAAAAGATAGCTAAATTCAGAATTTTCTTATGAATTCTAAAAATTTAATTTTTTCCAGTACTGTTAATAAAATTTGCTAATTTTTTGAGGTTTTTCCAACCGTGATAAGTGTAAATGTGTGATTAGTAAGCATTAAATACTCACTTGGAACAAGTGCAGGAAGACTTTTGAGTAGGGTCAACAAATGTCCATGTGCCTACTTCTAAGGAAGAATCGGAACATTTGGAAGATGATATTGGAGTGTCTAAAATACATTCAGCCCAAACGCGTTCGGGTAGTTCAGTAGCCGGCTTTAAAATACGTTGAGTCAGAAGAGAGTGATCGTAACCAGTGGGACTGCTTGGAGGTGACAAGGGACTGTCAACAAGTACTTCGTCCAAATCAGTAACTAAAACGTAACAAGAAGGATAACGCATCCGCACACCACCGACGAGAACTTCGACCAATGGAGGCAAACCAGATTCTTGCGAACAGCCATTAATCGGATAAAAATGTTTCCACTCTTCCAAAAGTTGACTATCCACTCGACTCACTTGGCCAGTCAAAGTGCCAGCGAGTCCATAAGGTGCTAGAATTACTGCAAGAAAGAAGCGAAAAGAAATAATGTTATTTTGGCACCTCTTTAAATCTGTTATATTCTGTACTATTCGGAATTTTAGAAAATACCTTTAACAGCAGATTGTGATGTTTGAGCACGATGTAAACAGGCTCTGGTTAAGTGTCGTACAGCAGGATGTTGTCTGACATCTACACTTGCACACACAGTACTCTCTCCATGAACAAAGAATGCAAATGCGAAGGACAAATGAGTACTGAAACATAAATAAAACATGTATAAATGTGTGGATTAATTCATTTACACTTTATTAATTTACTACTTGTGTAACTTTTTAAGTATTTTTTCTATAAAGTAGGTACTAAATTCTCAAAATTTCGAGAGGGAATTGTCATTTAACACACAAATTTTCCAAAAAATGTATTTTTCAGTTTTAATACCTAATACTCAAAATTTTTGTCTGGAATTTAAGGTAAGAATTTAAAACCGAAATCACGGTTCGCATGGTTGCCACAAAATCTAGATTTCAAAATTCCAGGCTTTTTCCAGGTTTTCCAGGTTAAAAATATTAAAAATTTCAGGTTAAAATTTAGGAATTATTTGTGATGAAAAAACAAGTATTTTACAAAACTGCATTTTTATGTTTATTTTTCTGAAAGTGATACTTTTGATATTCGATTTTTCAATATATTTTTTTAAAATTATATGGTTTTTTCTATTGAAACTACTTTATTTCATACTCAACAGTAAGAATTTAAGTTGCGCAAAATTAATTTGAAAATATTAAAGTCTTTCTTCTTTGAATTTTACTCGGCCCAATATGTAAAATTTGAATATTTATAAAAGCAATAATCAAAAATAAAAGCAATCAGACCATTAACTTTATTTTAATGTGCATTCACATTTTTTTAGAATATTTTTAATGTATAAAAAAATTTGAAATAAGAGGCACAATTGAATTGTAATTCAAATTTTATGCGTGTGATTTGTATTTTTATTTTCCACTATATTTTAAGCAAAATAATTGTTGGATACTTGTGATACTGGTGTAATACGAAAAATATGTCGCTGGTCAAATCATTAATTTCTCCAAAGTTTCTTATTTACTTTGCTCCAAAATTGGGGCACATATTATACTTTAGATGTATTTAAAACTGTGCATATGTTTTTATTTGTTCTAATTCTTATTTAATTATTTTTTTACGTGGATATTCAAATTGTCGCTCGTCAAATATGTCGCTTGGTCAAATCAATCGTTTTCCAATCAATCTGAAGTTTCGCATTTATTTGTTCCATGTTATTTATCACGAAGTAACCAAAAATGTAATAAAAAGTGACAAAATGAAAGAAAATCAAAGAAAAGAAAATAAAAAGCGAGAAAAAGGAAACGCAGAATGAAAAATTTATCAACGGAAGGCACTTAAGTAATATTTATTTATTTATTATTAAACGTTCATGAAACTGTTAGTGTTTTTTCAAGGTTATATTAAGATCCTCGATATTTTTTCAAAACAATTCAGCCAATCAAATAATTAGAAAAGTTCATGTTAATAATTTAAATACTTATCCGTAAAAAATTTTCTTTAATTTTTTTATTGTAATTTTGTCCTTATTAGTTGTATTAGACGTTTATTGTATTTATTTTCATGTTTAATTATATGTTTTTGTGATATCACACTGAAAACTAACTTATAAATTATAAGTTATTTCTCAGTGTGATATCACAAAAATATATATATTATATACATGTATATGTATATTATATACATTAGAAAATAAAAACTTAAAACAATTTAAAAATATTTCGATTAAGCTTCTTGAAAAAAATTAGATCCATAGAATTTTTAATGTATATGAAAAATTCAGATTTTCAAAGCTTTGAATTTGAAACCTTTACAAAATTCAATTATTTCTAAAAATTGCAATGAATTTTTAAAAAAATTTTTGAAAATAATTGAAAGAATTTTGATATTTATTAAGATCGTTGATCTTTTTCAAAGTATTGCGTTAAAGTTTTTAAAATTGAAACTAATTTCAACAGAATTAAAATTGAAATTTTTCAAAAAAATTGCTTCATTAAATGATTTATAAGTAATAACTTTATGGCAGTTCTTCAATAGGATTAAGTTGTTTAAAATAAATTATTGTCAGAAATAAAAAAAAAATTCAAGTTTTTTTTAGAATTCGTGGTAATTTCATATGAGGCAAATAAAAAGACACAAAACATTTAATTTTTTCCAGTACTTTTAATAAAAATCCCTGACTTTTCCCAGATTTCTCTGACCTATGGCAACCCTGTAAATTAGTATTTTTGGCTCTTTCAGATGCCAGAGTCGGAAAAGTACTTCAACAATCAATAAACATAATACAGCTTCTAAAATGGGGATTTCCATTTAAAATTTCCCCAAAAAATTATTCTTATTACGATTTCTTTTTCCAATTCTTTAAAAAATGAGAAAACACGTATTTTCTCATTTGCTTATTTGGAAATGGTGGAAGTTATGATATTTTAAAATTTGACATCAAAAGAAGAATACTTTTGAAACTCGTTTTTTTAATATGAGATAATCAACGTGTAACAATTTATTATCTAAAAAATGAAGACTAAGTCTAAAAAGTGACTTTTCACAAAAAAGAGGTCATCGATTTTTATTTTTTGAAATGCAGTTTCTAAAGGAAGATTTTTCGGTTTATACGAAAATCGTATTCTTTGATGCTACAATATTCTTTACAATTTTTGAGTTGCGCTCATAGTGTTTTAAAGTAATTTTAAAGCTCTCGCAAAGAAAAGAAACGTCTTTATTAGCGACAGGTCTTTGAAGTTGCCAAACAATTTTTCATGAATTTTTCGAGATGAAAATGTCACTTTTTCATTCACTTAGAGTGCTGAAACTTCTCCATGCTCTATTTTAACTCAAAACTTCCAAAGAAAAATTGTTCCAACACTCAGTGCAAGTAAATGCCAATTTCAAGAATTTTATATTAAATTATATATTATTTTATATTTATAATTTATAATTATAATAATAATTATTATAATAACAATATACTTATAATTATATATTAATTATATATATTATAAAAAAGTAATAATAAAACCAAGAAAAAAGAAAAACAACTTTTTTAAAAGATTTTAGGCTTTAATAGTACAGTAACAAGTTTCAAAATCTTAGGTGAATGGAAGCAGTGACATTTGTGTCATTATCATTACCAAAAATCTTCGAAAATATTCTTCCACTCTAAATCGGTTCATTTGAAGCCATTTGTAAACAGTTTTAATAATTCTTGAAAAAAATAAATCACTTTACATGAAGCATTTCGCATTGTTTGCCATTTTTGATTCGCCATCAAGAATTTGATTCTTGAGTAGGAATCTAACTTATAGTCAAAACAAAAGTTAATCCATTGTTACACGGAAAAAATTTCGGTCCACCGGTTGCGCTGCCTATAGTACACCTGTTGTACTAACGTTCAGATGTAAATGATATCCCGGATTCCATGCGTCATATGCGCCGAAAACAGGAACGTATATTGTCCCCAATGTTGAAGACAACACTTGAACGTTAACAGAGACAAATGCAGTGAATCAAGAAAATAACTACAATTTTGAATCTCAGTTATTTAATTTTGTGAAGAAATTCTTTTAAGGATTTAAAATAACCGTGTATATTAATTTTATAATTGATTAATTAATATTATAAATTCAAATTATTATTTAAATTAATCCAAAAGACGAAAATATATATAAATAACTTTATAAAATTATTATTATGAAAATTTTTAGTATTATATTATTATTAAATTACACTGCAAAAATAAGTATCTTATTTGATATCTTAAAATAAGATGTAAGATGGAAAAATGGTATCTTACATTTTAAAATAAGATGTTTTCTAAAGTATCTTACTGATTTTTAAGATGCTTTATACGTCTTATTTCTTCTATCTTAAAAAAGTAAGATACTTCCTGTAAGTTTTTTAAAGTATCTTAAATTAAGATGTTTCTGTCTCAATAAGATGTTTAGCTATAGGTTACTTGTGAATTGTAAGATGCGAAAAATATTTAAGTTACTAAAACCTAAGATGCATAAAATGTTTTACATATAAGCCCATAGTTAACCTCAAAACTTTTTTCCCAAAAAATATGCTGAAAATGTGTATGAAGATGCTTTTAACATCTTAAATTAAGATATTTTAAATGACTAAAAAGTGACTACCATAACATCTTAGAAATTACTACCAAAACATCTTAATTAAGATACTTCTTTTTGGAGTGTATATATAATTTTATTTAAATTATTGTTATTAAAATTGTAAATTATTTCTGAAAAATTTTTTAAATTTCAAAAAAAAAAATTATTTTGTTAAATAAGAATTAGTATAAAAATAAAATTTTTGAAATGTTTAAAAAATAAGGTTAAAATAAAACAAAGTAGTTGTTTAAAAAAATAGTAAAAATATTTTTTTTTGTCTTCATATGTTTTAAATGCCTACACTGTAATTATTATCTTTATAAGATAATAATAATGCCATTTTTTCAACAAAATCATATACGCGACAGCGCATGTACAATATAGCACTGGTCCCAGATTTGGAGACAAATGTTAGACTCCATTCAAAGTTCAACGCTTGCGCAGCATTAATACGACTGACGCACCGAAACTGGGACGAAATATGTCTCGGTTTAAGGGATAAAATTTGAATCGGCTACTAACACAACGGATGTACCTTAACGTACAAACGGTGCACCAAAATTTTTTCCGTGTATAATTTCGTATTTTAGAAGAAAAAGATGGACTAAATTTTAAATTTGTTTTACAGGAAGCGAAAGGAATATTTCTAAAAATTTAAATTTAAAAAATTAAAATTTGCATTTAAATAAAAATTACAATTTTTTGTCATTAAGAAATATTCTTTAATTCTAGGTTAGGGATCATTCACTTATTACGTCACGCAAATTTGGAAAAATTTTAATCCCTCCTCCCTTTACGTCACATTTTGTTACATAGAAATTTCAGGGTTGCCACGCTTTTGCTCATTTCAAATTCCCTGACTTTTCCAGGTTAAAAAACGGAATTTTTCCAGGTTTTTAAAACTACATTTATATTTTACAAAATTAAATAATTCCAATAAATTTTTACAAATACATGGAACTTTCAAATAATACTGTATTTTGTATTATTATATTTATCTTTTTTAAATAAATATTTAATTATTATTTTTCCATAGGAATTAAAATTCTTCAAAAGATTCAAATACAAACCTTTTTGAAATTAAATAACTTATAAAAAATTGTTATAAAACATGAAGAAATCGATCACTCCGAGTCTTCGACTCGGAGCAATCGATATTTTCATGTTTTATAATAATTAAAAATGACCGACTGATAAAATCATTATTTTATAATATAAGAATATTGCTATTGTTACTTATTCAAAATTACTTTCATCACTTCAATTCAATTATTGTTTTCCTGAATTTTTAACTGAAATTCTTCTTTAAATTAATTATTTATTTATTTTTAATAATTTTTGAAAAATTTCTTTGAAGATTTTCAAATCCTTTTGTTTATAATTCCTTTTGTTGGTTAAAAGTATAAAAAATTCAAACGTTCAGAGATTATAATTTAAAACCTTTTCAAAATTCAATTATATCTAAAATACTTTCTCTCTAAATTTGAATTAGTAAAAATGTTTACTAATTGGAATTAGTGACTGACTTTTTGCTTTTAAATTAGTAAATTTTACTATTGAATTAGTAGAAATGACTAGTTATTAGTAAAATCTGCTAATTCAAAAGCAAAAAGTCAGTCACTAATTCAAATTAGAAACCATTTTTACTAATTCAAATTTAGAGAGTTTAATATTCAATTATTATCTAAAATTTTAACTTAAATTCATATTTGAATCAATTATTATTTGAAAATTCTACGAGAGTTCAATTATTTAAAATACAAAAATAAATAATTTATTGAAGAATTGAATGTTTTTTAAAATTGAACTCTCATAAAAAATTTTATCAACAAATTTTTAAATAGGTAATTAAAAATCTTTTGACGAATAATTTTAATTTTCGAAAAATTATATTAAAATTGTATTAAAAATAATTGAATCTCTGTAAAAAATTTGATTGAATTGAGAAAATTTTTTGAAAATAATTGAAATTTTGCCAAGAATTTTATTAAAATTTATGAAAATAATTGAATTTTGGAGAAAAATTTTATTATTGTTAAAGATAATTGAAATTTTGAAGAGAATTTTTAAAAACTTTTATTAGGTGTGCAAAAAGCTCGAAGCTCGATCGAGCTTTTTCGAGCTTTTCATTTTTCGAGCCGAGCCGAACTGTATAAAAAAAAGTTAGCGTCAAATTCAGTTAGTCAAGCTTAACGAATTTTTCAGTTACTTTTTACTAAAAATACATTCCTGAACTTAGCGTCGACGCTAAGTGACGAAAAGCATTTTTTTTCCAAATCTAAAAAATTCAGACAATTATTTTAAAGGTTTCCGGTTAAAAAGTGTCGAGAAAACTTTATTTTAATCGTGAAAATAAATAAAAAAAATAAATTAATGACAATTATAATAAATATAATTAATTTATAATTTATAATTATTATTATTATTATTATTATTATTATTATTATTTATAATTAATTTTTTATTTATAATTATAATATTATTATAATTAATTATCTATGAAAATAATTTTAATAAAAAATATTTCGTTCATTTGAACGTTCATAAAAATAAAACACATGAAAAAAAGTCTTAAAAATGCAAGTTTAGAACTAAAAGTATAGTAAATAGTATTTGAATACTTTATATGACAATTCTATTAAATTATAAATTTTATTGCTAATTTTGTGAATAGCGGTACATAGAGATTGAAAATTTGTCACTAACATACCTATTACAACGATGTTTTTCAAAACCATCGTACGGTTGCACAAACCACTTCCCAAGACGAATAAAATCTCGAGATAAGAGGCATCGTTCAATCAAGTTGTGTAGAGCTTTGAAGAGAAGGGACCGACACTCGTATGATAAGCCACTTTCCCAAGATCCTTGTTCACTATCTGTAATTGAAATAAATATAAATTAATATCCAAATTTCTAAAAAGTTATCGCATAAGACATCTACAATCAAGAGAAAAAAATCTCGTCGTTCTTTTCTTATTCTTATTTAGATGATTATCAATCTTTTTAATTAACATTCAAATATTGAAGGACTAATCAAACGAAATTAAATTTTACACGTTTTAACAATTTTATAAAGTTTATAAAGTCACGACTTACGAGATGATTAAAATATGTAGATTATTCTTCTCGAAACTGAACCAAAGAGTTCTAGTATGTTGTTATGACCGGTAAAGTTGTTTACTTTTTATTTACAAGCTCTTGATTACATCATACCAAGAGATAGTTATTTGTTCTTTCGAGCAATGATCACCAATTATTATAGATTGCAAAGTAAGTGAAAAATTTATAGAACAACATTATATGGCATAAAGTTTATAAAGAATGTAATCCATTTTTAAAAAGAGTAGAATCCTTAGCAGCATCATTTTGCTGTACATGTGTATCCTTTGTTTAAAAACTTCAATTAAGGACTAGACAACCTTTCAGTAAAACTAAATCAGTTTCATGTTTACTATTTAGATGATCCAGATTTTTAAAATGTTGGTCACCGCAAAACATGTTTTTCAAAAAGACGTCGCGTCGGATAAGCTATTCCAATTTATTTCTTTTTTGCGGTTTCTCGAAATACACTTGATAATTTAATGTTGAAAGTTTTTTTTATAAAATTTAAAATAACAGCATTTCTACAAACTTCTTGGAAAATTCTATACGATTCAAGGTGATGATAAAATTTCCATGAAAGATCCTAGTAAGGAATTGTCTAGTACGTGTTACGATTAGAAAAGGAGATTTGTTATCAATTCTGAACATATTAAGCATTAAGGACATACACGTCAAACGTGTTTTGAGTCAACTTGACGAAAATATGAAACTCAAAAAACTTAAAGTTCCTTTTTTATTGGAGCTTCTTTCGGAACATAAAACAAGTTATCTCGATTTCTAGAATTGAGATGAAATTCCATGATAATTTTAGGTTTTTCGATCATTTGTAGAAACAGACATTGAGAGTAATCTTCAAGTTTTCAAATTCGATAGATTTCCACTAAATACGGAGAAACCTTTGGGTTGTCTATGCGCTCATGGCGAGGATATCAGTGACACACTGAAAGAAATGATTTCTGTATGATAGGAATTTGATTATGTTTAAGAATAAATTTCTGCCAAGTTTTGAAAAACCAAAATCACGTAACCTATAATTTGTAATAAAGTTTCTGTAATTCAAATTTCTGTAGGGGAGACTAGGCTGGTGCAGTTGTTACAAATAAAATATCTCAAAAACAGTGAATTATAGAGATGGGGTTCCAAAAGGAAAAATGTTTAGTTTTGATGTATACGAACTTGCTCCAATATGTTTAAAAATTATATGCAAGCTTTACAAGTAAAAAAATAGGCACATTGGTTTTTAGAGGCCAAAAGTAAATATTTCTCTGGTTGATATTTTTTAAATAACTAATAGACCTTAATATCAATTCTATGAGGATTTAGCTTTAACAAATTGCCTTGGTTATCCACATTTAGTGTATACTTTTTTAATAAAGTGATTTATTGTAAAAAATGTACCTGTTGTGCAATTGTTACAAGTGATGATGAGAACGGATATTTTTAAAAAAATTCGAAACAATATTAATGCTGCCATCTCTATGACACTGTCACGCACTATTACGTTGAGTCAAAAATTATGAATAATTAATAAAAGTTGTTATAAGAAATTATTTGTCTTCAATTTAGAAATGTTATAGATAATTCTATTCTATTGTAACAACCGACATTCACTTTGTGCAATTGTTACAATTTACACGCTGTCACTCAAATGCTTCTACCAAACAAATTGGAGTTAAACTCTAATCACTGTAACTGGTTTTCTCAAAATTGTAACAACTGCACCTAGTCTCCTCTATACCTCTTTGTGAGCGAACGAAACTAATGTGAAATTTGGTTAAGAGGTTAGTGCGCTTTAGAAATGTTCATTTAGTTCTAATGGTATGGTTGGAATACCCTGACTGTTGGGCTGTTTCTATTCCAGCAATACTGTATGGGTAATATAACCTAAATTACTGCTGGTCATTCCAATTTTTTCTTTCAGTGCAAACGTTGATATTTAAACAGCTCTACCAAAATATGGATGAAACTGAAGTTACCAACGTTTGTTCGACGAAAAATATAATACGTAACAATTTCCCCGCCTCAGATCCAATTTTTTTCCACATTTATTATAGATACTAATATTAGAAGTCATTAGAAATTATTTTCAAGTGGAACCAGGTCTGGGAGGGCAACGATTTTGATTTTTTGCACGGATTTTTCGAAAAATCCGCGACAAAAAATCAAAATCATTGCCCTCCCCGACCTGGTTCCAGTTGAAAATAATTTCTTATGATTCCTGACATTAGAATTTTTAATAAACGTGGAAAAAAATTGGATCTGAGGCGGGGAAATAAAAATTGTTTTGAAATTTCTGAATTTTCGAAAAATCCGTGATAAAAAAATGTAAAAATCGTTGCCCTCCCCGACCTGGTTCCACTTGAAAATAATTTCTAATGATTCTTGACATTAGTATTTTTTGTAAAAGTGAAAAAAAATTGGATCTGAGGCGGGGAAATAGAAATTGTTACGTATTATATTTTTCGTCGAACAAACGTTGGTAACTTCAGTTTCATAAATATGGATACTAAATGTCCAAAAATCGAATGATGTTGCCTTGAACAGTGGCCTGTATGTTTTTTTTATTTTTGATACTAGCGTCTCGTCGACCGCTTGGAATTATATAATAATAATAATAATAATAATAATAATAATAATAATAATAATAATAATAATAATAATAATAATAAAGCAGGCAAAAGATTGAAAACAGGCAAGGCGCCTGGAATCGATGGGATTAGTAACGAGATCCTAAAGTTGGTTATCGACACTTCACCCCAGATTTTGCTTCGATGCTTAGTCCTCCTGAGGAAAGGTGAAAAACCTCTAGATAAAGTCTCATCATACAGGCCTATATGCCTGCTAGATACGATGGGTAAACTTCTAGAGGATATGGTTCTGCAGAGAATGCAAAGCCACTTGACCGGAGAGAATAGTCTATCGGATCACCAATTTGGTTTCCGTAAAGGCAAGTCCACAGTTGATGCCATCCAGGCAGTTGTGGACATAGCCAAAGCAGGAAAAAACAAGTTGGGACCCGCAAAAAAGAAGAGCTTCTGCGCGTTGGTAGCAATTGACATACGCAACGCGTTTAATTCCGCAAGATGGAAAGATCTCATCGAGTCGATGGAAAAGAAAAACATGCCGCCCTACTTGTTGCGGATAATGGATAATTATCTTAGCGACAGGTGGGTTATATATGAGGGAGACACCTGCACTCTCAAGGAAGAGATGCAGCGTGGGGCTCCTCAAGGCTCGAGGGTGGGTCCATTTGTATGGAATGTATCTTACGATAATTTTCTGCGAATGGATCTACCCGAAGGTGCGGTGATCATCGGCTTTGCGGACGACGCGTTGTTCGTGTGCACTGCCGAGAGTGAGGAGGCTCTTGGGACATTGGTGAACGAATGTCTGCGATTAGCAAAAAGCTGGCTGGATACCAGAGGTCTTGAAATGGCCCTGGAAAAGACCGAGGCACTGCTGGTCACAGACAGACGTGGTTATGAGCTCCCACGAATCGTGATAGACGGATTCGAGGTCAAGTGGAGTAAGCAAATTAAATATCTTGGTGTGGAGTTGGATGGAAGGTATCTGTAGGCAGATTTCCCAAAAGTCCCTAAGCAAAAAAAAATAAGAATAATAATAATAATAATAATAATAATAATAATAATAATAATAATTACCGACCGCTCCAACATGTCCGTTTTATTTAAAATATGTTTATTATTTAATATAATTTATATAAAATTAGTTTAATTTTTGTTTAACCCCTTCACTGGCAGGGCGTTTCTGTCAGTGAAGGGGTTAATTCCTAAAGATAAATTAATTAAAATTAAATAAAAATTGAAATTCCAATGATATCTATGATATTAAGAAAAGCGACTGTAGATTTATCTCTTAAATATATTATATGTGAGTTTTTAAGGTACTACATTTCATTTAGAAATGTGAGTCCGCCCTTATATTTACTTTTTACATTGTCAATGCTCATTTCCTATTTCGATGTTTTTCGGTATATTCGACCTTTTATCCTAATGTCTTTTTTAAGAAAGGAAAATTTTACCAGTTTTACTTGTTTCATTTAATTAGAAAGATAAAAAATTTCTCACGTTAGTTAGGTTTTAAGATAGTTTGCTTTATGTCTGTCTGTCGGAATTCAGGCTGTTTGGGATCAACTTCGCAGACCTCTGAATGTTGGAACTAGTGCACCTCAAGGATCAGTTTTGGGACTTTTATTGCTTATACTTTATACTAATGATCTTAGGAGAGTCCTTAACTATATTCTAAACATATGTATTTTGTAGATGATTTGAAAATTCATTTACATTCTAGTCTCGAAGACTTCAAGGATAATCTAAGGTTAATAAATAATCATGTTAAGTCTATTTTAAATTGGAAGGAAACACCTCCATACATTTTGTTTTCAGATTCACAGTATCTATTACCTAATTCTTTCAACGTTACCACATCTCATATTAGGTATTGTTGACTGTTCCTATCCTTTCCTCTGCAATACTCGAAAATATTCGAGTAATGTAACTGTACTATAGTACAGTTAATTCTCAAACCATGTCGTATGGGGCAGCACTGACATTAACGACAGAGGCAGAAGACTTTTAGATTTTCTGATAGATACAGATTTAGATACTTCAAATCAGGGTAATGAGCCGACTTTCGTTACTGTTAACAGAAAAGAGGTGTTGGATATTACGATCTGTTCCAAGTCTTTTTGTGATGGCGTGAGGGACTGGAGGGTGTCTGATGAAGATTCCCTCTCGGACCACAGGCTTATTAC